TTCGCATACCAATGCTTCCAGGCAGCGTCGATTGGTCTTTGCCTCTCAGTTTGTGTGTTTATTAGGCAGTATTTTAAAGGTCAAACGGAAGGTGTTACTGACTGAAAAACAAATCGGATTGGAAATCTCTGTATTCGCCGGGACGTGTTACCTGTAAGCGGCGCTCTGAATAATACCAAACAGCATTATTTGAGTCAAGAACGACAATACCTGTTTGTTGAAAGCCAGGCTTAATACCCTAACCCGGCGAACAACCAGTAAAGGAGAATATAGTAGTGTGGATATACGCGACGTTGGTGTATGAAAAAGGTTTGATTGACTAGTATAAGTTGTGGGTATATATTTCGTCGTCCGCGATCGAAACGCCTTTTGTTGTCATTTCTGAAAACGCATTAGATAAGTTGTCTAGTTTCTCCGACTTCACGCCATTTCGAATGCATTTCTTACGTGCAGTTTAGTTGCCATGAAGTCCACCTCACGTACACCTCGCAGAAATCGATCGTCACTAACACTATATTACCAGCGACCTACACCCAGTCAACAGTGCTAATGAACTCTGCTTCTCGAGTACCTCTCCGCGCTGACCTACAGGAAATTCACTACATGTATTTTACGTAATTTCGCGTTCTTCTTGGAGGGGTAGACTATTATGTTGACGTCACATCCCACAGCGAGATTCAGCGAAACCACCTGTTGACGTGTAATCGCGTCCCATGCTCCCATACGAACTCTTTTCATCGAAGGCACCCTTTATGTTACCATGCGAAAACGAAGGTGAGTTGTAAAGGAATTGAATGATGTCCCTTTCTCTTGTTTACTTGTTTAATTCCTAGGGCCATACTCATAGAAATACAGACGCTTAATAGGTTGCTGGATAGAAACCAGACCCCAAGCGCTAGACTCCAAAAATCCACTCAGTCGAATCCTTAACTGACAATGCATGTCTTTACTGTCGTCGAAATGATAGACCGATTGAACAAAAATCACGTATGTTATAAGAGCGTTACGGTAGCGAGGAACAAGACTTATACAAGGCGATACTACGATTCTTTATGAACAGCTAAATTTAAGATATGTTGTTTTTACCATTCCTTCGTGCTTTTAGTATGAAAATGTATGCCTGTTCATTTTATGTTTTTTTTGCGGAAGTAGAACGCGGGCACCGAAATTCGAGTTGTATAACACTGAATCCACACGCTTACACGTACCCGAATGTGAATATGTTGAATTTAAACTTGACTTTATGACAAATAAACGAGGCAATTTTTAAGAATTCGCAATACGCAGTGTTTAATTTTATATAATATTTACAAAAATGGTTTACACCCGAGCCTGTACCCTGGCAACCCGTGGTATTGTTTATTGACTGGAATGATAACGTTAATTATGATAAATTACCTCTTTGTCCGGGTTGTAAAGTCCTAGATCGATGAAGAAGATAAAAACAGACAGCGTTATTTATAAAAGACACTTTCTATCGCATTGATTATATTGTCTAAACACCGGCGTATTTCTTTGCATTGAACCAATTTTCACACTGCAATCAATACTAACGAGATAAAACTCTCTACGCTGGGTATGACATCTCGTGTGAAAGAACTGCATTTTTTTGTTTAAATGACATCGCCGTGGCAGTATTCTGTTTAAGTGTTATATTTAAAGTATTTTCAAATAAGTGGGCGTTGTGATTAGTGTATGATGCCAAAGTCAACGTAAAGTTATTTACGGAATCACCAATTTTCCTGTACATCAAATTTAGTGAATTCAGTTTAAAATAACGTTTTTTTTAATCAGCATTCATTTTGACATCTGTTAAGGCTTATTAACTCATTATACATTTGACATGAAGCACCCTGAGTCGATAACATGATGAATTACAGCCAACAGAAAGTGTTGTTTTGTCGCGCACAGAAATTGTGAACTATGAAAAATATGCGCATGCGCTGTGAATTACGTGTATGTACTATAAATTTAAAGAGTACCCCCCCCCCGAATAAGTAATTTCGTGTGCTGCGACAATCAATGTAATGTAGCATCACTAGAAATGGCTAGAAATCGCATCCAAATGTGTATATAACCGAGGGTACATGCACACCTATCCCATGATGCCCTCCCAACCAAGCCACTCATCCATCTCTATTGGACTTTACACGCCATATTATATTGGGTTGTCTTTTTAAAATAAAAAGACACGCATATATTGAGTGTATGTGTAAATGTAGTGTAAATGGTAGATTGCTGTAAAATCCGTCGTATTTAGTAGGTGTCCGACGACATCGTGAACTTGAAATATTCATCATCATGTGTGGCTCAGTAAAATACAAGGATTGTGCGTGACTTTTAGTCGTATTTTATAAAGGGCGCTATGAGGGCGTTCTAATGTACTAGTACGCTGAACCACGACCGGTCATTCCTCAGCTCCTGAGAGCGAGGTTATTTGTAGATATGTTGGCGATCGCCGCTGTGTTTGCGGAAGTACTATGGGAGATTGCATGATGGAAGTGAAAAGTCTTTTGATCAGTAAGATAATTTTAGAAAAGTGAAAACTAGAGTGACTGTGAAATAAAAGTTGGTTTTAAATATAAAATATCATGGAATCTGGATGAAATAATGAAAGGAAATTGAACGGGTATGAAAGTAAATGTGGCAAGAATGCAAGGTCAGAATCCGGGAGTCAAAATACGTCACAATACATCCATCATCATCCATTGGCTGTCAACAACTATGGATGCGGTAAAAGTCTTGATTTGCAGTTGTGTGAATGGCCGGGGAAATAATTCATGCCAATTATGTGCTTCAGTAACAGTATTTGCTGCTTTTTTGTGCAATGGAAATAAATTCAAGAAATGCTGTCAAAGAACATTTTCTTCTAGTAAACAAAACAACCCTGGGACGTTTATCTTGAGAAATTGAGAAGACGAAAATCTCTTGGGACAGTCGTTGTTGTGAAACAATTGACATACTTCTCCAGGGTATCAAGGGTAGTTTTGATTATTAGAAGATGGAAACTGCTGTTTTATGGAAGAGCAAATTTCAATATCATTGGCCACAGTAATTCTAAATCGATGTTGGTTTTAATTGGTGTTACCTGGTGTAGAAGTAATAACATTACGATGTTTTCGAGTTTAATAGTAAATTATTA